ATGTGTTTCTCACTACCCAAATGTTACTCTAGGACTGGTCTTCACTGGTGCGTTGTTTAAAAATAAGAAGTAAAACAGTTCAGCACACTAATCTCTCTGCTTACTTGGGAAGTTAAATCAGCCGTTGTGAGTCAGTGACTGATAAAATCTCTGCATACATACGAAGTACTCGCTTGGCTTCCTTCAAGTTATTCCTCATATGGCACTACTTGATATCCGATTGCCTACTGAAGGTTAAGTGTACTGCGCTACAGTTTCTTCTCTTCTACTGCTTGGCTGTGAAATATGTCTATTAAAGGCACGGGGATTGAGGAGATTTCAGGCTTTTGACCAGCGTTGCCTTCGGAACGTAGGTGGCGTGTTGAGGTGCCACCCATTCAGTGACGTAGGTGTTTGGCGTAGAGTTCTGGGTAGAAGAGGGACGTCAGTTAATGAGGTTGTGAACCTTCAAAGATTCGTATGACGATGACATGTACTATACATGAGTGGTCACTGTCTTCCTCATTGCACATTGTTAGCTCAGGTAGGTTCAGGCTAGAAAAAGGTTACGGGTAGCTGGAATAAAAAATGACGTCAATCCTTCAAGTCTTTGATCGTTGATATGAGTAGTGTAAGAAAATAAAAAATACTTTGTCAGGGTCAACGGGATAACAAAAGCCGGTGGTTGGAGAATTCAAGTGATCTGACCAGTGAGTTTCAAAACTGCACTAACCTTCATGTGCTGTGAGCAGTAAGCTACTACTGCATCAATGGATGGTAGCTTTCGGGCTGTAACATGCTCATGAGTGGTGGTGTACGGAGTCTTCATAGTAATGTATTCACCTGACGTCCCTTCCAGTGACAAGCACTACCATTTATATGTCGATCGACAAAGCTGAATGCCACCTCCCTGTCAGTAAGTGGTGTGTTTGAAATCCATTTTCTTTGCTCATTCAATATCCAAATTATAATGTAAGTCACATAATATAATTTTCATATCTCAATATATAAGCTTCTATTTTGTTTTCGTGTATGCGTTTTTTATGGTCATATTTTCCATGATATGAATGAATACAAAATTGTGTGACCTTTCACCTTCCTGAGACTCTTACGTAATCTAAAGTTGTTACTATCATTAGTTGTATCGCCAGTGTGGTGTGTTATGCATACACATATGTATCTCAGAACAAAGTGTTAAATATAAAAATGTCAGTTTCAGTATAATGGATGAAGTGGTTGGGTGTGTTCACCACTTTACTTAGTTGGGAAGTTTGATCAACCTTGGTTGGTCAGTGATAGCATAATCTGACTGTAGATAAAAGACTCATTAGGATTTCACCACTTGTGCTTTTTTGGCGTTTAGGTAATTGGTTGTATTCTCACGGTCCCCTATTCTGCGCAACAGTTAGGTCTTTTCCACTTAGTGGTTGTAAAACCTGGCGGTTTAGGACACAGAACCTGAGAAGGCTTCTGGTGTTCGACTACATACGTCTTCATTGCATTGCCTATGTCGTGGAGTGACCACTTCAGCAATGTAGTGGTTTTGCGTCATACAGACAGACAGAATCAACGTGGACGTTTGGCCACAAGTTCATCGGTTCAAGTTGTCACACCTAACAGCAGCATGCAAAGAACAAGTGGATAGAAGGACTGACATCAATGTAAAAAAAGGTGTATGAGAGGAGAAACATTTTGAAGATGATGGTTAGTCAAAATGTCCAGGCTTTAAAGGACGTCATAGACTAATTTTCAGTCATGTCACCAAGAGTTCCCAACCATTAATTCCTGTGTTCTCAGGGACCCCAGCCAGTTAGTTTTTGCCTTCATAAATGGCACAGACCGACACTTAAGGACATCAGAACTGGTGCTACGTCTTAGTCTGGCAACTGTGATCTCTCTTCAACCTAACCCAACTTCTAGTATTTCTCGTCGAGGTAGGCAGTGGCTCAGGATGCGCAATACATGTCGGTCATACTAGGTGCTGAAGGTTCACAACTTCATCAACTGACTTACCTTCGGAAACAACAAAGTGTAATAAACAACCATCTGCATATTCGTGCAGTAGACAATGAGCCACACTTAGTCTGTGTCCAATGATGCTACTTGGCTACCCAGTCCTCCGTGACTGGAGCGGTGCTCGAACTTTTGACCCGTCGGTCCTCTCTCTAAAGCAGTAAGCCACAGCTCCACCTGACTAGGCTTACTTGCCTAATACCCTTTCCCTAACCTGAACATTGCTCATACGGTGATTTCACCAAACGCAAGCAGCGCTACAAAGAGGCCCTTGATCAGAAACCAGTAACCGCTTCATATCTTCTACTTTGAACAGTCATTTCCCGCAAGCACGTAACAGGACGAAACGAACTACAAAACAGTAAACTGGTCCTTTTACGGGTAGTCGGATATCTCTCCAAAACTAGGAATAACACCTGTTAGCAAATGCTGAGTGAACCTTCTCTATTCGGGCTGAGATTTCATCGGCAACCAGTCTGTTCAGCAGACAGACGGGGCTTCCCAGGTAAGCGAATTGGTTGACACATTGCATCACCTGACTCCCTATTATCAAATTGGGAGTAATTGCAGCAGACCAGTTCTGCAGCATCATCTTACATATCATAGAGGCGAAACGCATGCCGAACATACTCAGATTTCTGCTCAATACATTCAGAAGGCCCTGGATTTTGTCAGGGTCTTCACCCAGCAGGACAATATCATCTGAATATTCCAAGTCACGCGGATGCCCTACAGGGAGTAGATCAATCCCTTTCAAGTCAGACTTATCTAAAGTTATGTTCATTAGTATGTCTATGATGAAGTTAATATAATATAATATAATAATAATAATGATAATAATAATAATAATATAATAAATAGGAACAGTGACAGTAGGCATCCCTGGCAGATACCACTAGTTGTCGTCAATTCTGATGACATCTCTCCGTAAGCCTTTACGGGGCTGTATGAGTTAGAGTAGAGAGCTTTGATTCAGCGTCAGTAACTTGATCTGTATTCCGTCTGCAGTCAGTATTATTTTCACCCCAATCTTTTCAAATTTTCCTGATTTATGTTTCTCATATGAATTCAATTTTAATCCAAATTCATGCATTTCTGATCTCTCATATGCGAAAAATATAAGTGATTACCTGACGCTTTGATTGTAACACAGATTAAGTAGATTTGTGATGAACATTTACCCACGATCATACATTTTTTTCATTTAAAACGGTTAGTATGATCAAGAGCAATAGCTTCGCTCGAAATATAGCCGAAACTACATGACTCATCATTGTTTGTTAATATTGATTACAAACATATTTATAAATCGCCTTAACCGTGTAATGTATTTGCGCAACACATGTCGAACCATTTAATCACACACTTATTTGTCACCAGTATTTATCTAAAAGTTTATAATAAAATCAGAAGTGAGAATATGACAAGAGGTCAAATAGGATGGCTGAATTAAAGGGCAAGGAACACTAAAAATTAATAGAAGGAAAATAACAGTACATCAAACTTGGTTTTGGAGTTGAATTCACCAAAGTAGATTTTGTCATATTGATGAATCCAACTCTGAAACCAGGTTGAACAAGCTATTATTTTCCTTCTATTGATTTTCACTGTTATTTGGCCTTTAATTCATCCTTCCATCTTTTCATATTCTCACTCCTTATCTTTGTAACAAGCTTCATATAAGTACCTAATACACGTTCATGGGTGATCAGATAACTCGAAATGTCTTGCTCAAATAAATTACACGGTTCAGACAGTTTACGTCTTCTTTTTGTTTTGTCGAAATATGTTTGTAATAGATTGATTGATTCATCCCATATTGTCCAAGCATTTCATGGATATCTAAATAACACAGTAACCTTGTTTACTGAACATCAACCACTTCTGTGACTTTTAAGTAGTCCAATATGTATCAGAATTGTGGAATAGAGTTTTGTATGACTCAAAAACTCTTGCTAAGAAGGGTTAACCTGATTTCGAACAGATGACGGAAGTAATTGATAATGAACGAAATATAACTTCACTTGCTTATATTAGTCTTTTTGTTGTTTATTATTATAATTGTCATAGAGGATAAAAGTGCATCTGATCACTTATCGGTAACAGTCAGTTGATTAACCCTTGACCCTCATGTTATCTCTGCGTCTGACTATATTTCATGTAAAGGTCAAGTGATAAATACTTTATAATATTGATCATACTTCTGTATATAAGTGACAGTTCTGCTTCACAGTTTTTGTCAGGAAGATATGTGCTTCCCGACCACTGGCCGAACCTATTGTATAGTAGTTCACGTTATGCTTCTGTACAGTTTTGAAACTTAGCAGTGTATAGAGAGTCTCATCGTTGATGTTTCTTTGAGTTTTCCCACATCTGATGAAAACAAAGTGTTTCAGGTACCGAACTGTGTAAAGTGGATCGGTTGGTGGTATTGCTAGCACGCAACAACCAAGTTAATTTACAATCCTAGATATCTACTTAAGTTTGTGGACGAAAAGTTACGATGGAAGATTGCGTGAGAGGAAGGCCTACAATAGACGAAATGGTTTCATTCTTCCTTTTTGAGAATCTCCAAACCTAACTTTTGCAACAGATTATCAGGATAAGTCATGATTCACTAAGTACTGTTTTTAAAATATAACTTCTGTGAAAAATGGATCTTCATAGTATTCGAAAAACTCATATGTTACGTATATTCTATGGTGTGTTTTTCGTTATTCATTTAATCTGCTTCAGATGCGCAAATTAATTCTCCAAATGTTTATAATTAAAAGTTGACTGCCATTCTAACATTTACTATGTAGAAATAAATTTCACGCATGTTAGTGTGCCAATGAGGATTAATAATCTAACAACTTGTTCAAAATGAACAGTGTGCTTATCGGCGTAACAAATTTTGCTCAGTATAGTTGCAAAACCTGTTGAATCTAGATATTTTGTCTCACTAACTGTTTTCCTTTTCTCTTACAGATTTCGAGCTACATTTAGTATATGTAAACAAAATCTACATGGATATCCCTAAAACGTATCAAATAAAGATCAGTGATCATTGGTTATTAGCCAGACATGATGTCACCATAAGTGTTTCATCCTTTTCTCAGTGCATGTGCTTTGGAGATATGTTTGATTCGTCTACTAATGAACTTATTCTTGCTGATTTCAGTCAATACTTCAAAGAAATCCGCTCCAATTCAAGAGATTCTGAGTTTAAAATTAAAGCATTTAAAGGAACTAAGCTCATCAGTGAGATATCACATTCTGAAGCTCCATCTGGAATTATAACTTACAAGTGTAGAGAAAAAGATAAAATTGTGTCAGGTCAGTTGTAGTTAGCCTTATGCAGGTTTATGAGCGGAAGTCGCATGCTGAAGTTATATACAAAATAAAAAAATGAATATGACATTTTATCAACATGGGAGCATTATTTAAAAAACAGTGCTGATGAGTGTCAGCAAGTACAAAACCTAGCTCCCGGGCTCCCTGAAGATTGCCTACAACCAAATGACCCTTTTTTCAGTTTATCAGGTACTTTTTCGAAAACCCAGTCGGTATTATTGTTTCACACACCGAAGAAAGTTGATTAGGTATTCATTGTCTTCCTGCAACTCATTCTGATATCTCCGAAAATATGCTAGGTATCTGGAACCTGATAAGCTGACATGAAAACTAATCTAGATATTATGAAGAAATTACTTTTCAGCCTTTGAAATAGCTATCTTAATAGGGGATTTTTTTATTACATTACTAACTTAACTGTTTTTAATTATCTCTTTAATACTGTCAACGTATTATAGGATTAGGCAAGAAATATAGTAGCAGTCTTAAGATGTGGCTGTCCAATGTAATATACCCAGTTTAGTATTAACTACTCTAATATTACAATTGAATAACTATTATTCTGCTTAGCATATAGACCATATGGATCATACAATGAAACAGCATTATCAAATAAGTAGATCAACCATAGGCGAAGGATTGCAATTATATCGAAAACATGTTTTCTTCTCTAATAAAGTGGTAATGTTGATAACTGCGTGACATGAAACATATTCACCTATTTGAAACAACTAGTCCCTTTTATTTAAATCCACCAATTTCCCAAAAAAATTGCAAAGAAAAAACTAACCATCTCATACAAACATACATAAAAACCATCCCAATAATAAAAATGTTTACAACCAATTATTATCGTATCGTATAAGGTAAATTTTACTTGTGTCATCCCAGCGTAATATATGACAACAAATAGGAAAATAAAGGATCACCACAATTTCATTCAGTACCCAATTTTACGGTGTATTTAGCTTACTAGGTTGATGAGTTTGTTCAGAAGTCGTACCGCAGATATCTCTTAGTCTAAAAGTCGGTAAGATTTCATTTGATAAATATAGGAGAAAAAAGTAAGGTTATTCGAAAAAGTAAAAGAACCTTTTCAATAAAATAATCCAGCATCAGAATGGAGTAAATGCACACTGGTGAATAAAAATGATAAGTGAGTCTTGGATCTATATATGACAGTAAACGCGCTAAACGCTCAACTGAAATTCTTATACAGCTAACACGTTACAAGTCGCTCTGATACCTAAGCCTATTGGGCTTATACTAAAGCCTAACTAGAATCCTTTAATTAACTGTATTCACTCATTTTTATGCTACCTTGCTCTCTTTGCAAGTCAGATCAGCCTTTATGGGTCAGTGACAGATGAAATCTCAGCACACTTACAAAAAGCCAGCTTACATTATCCTTGGTGCTGGCGAGATATTCGATAGCCTAATCGTTGAGTGCGTTGTGCAGTGGTTAACTCTGTTCTACTTCATAGCTAGGAAACATGGTTATTGAAGTTAGAGAATTCTGAGAAGGCCTCAGGGGTTCAACCGGCATTATTTCCGTAGTATGATTCATGTGTTGTGGTGTCACTACGTCTGTAATGTAGAAGTCAGGGGTAGAGTTTTCGGGCGAAGAAGAAATTCAGTTGTTAAGTTTGTGGAATTTCACCACTCCTGTGGTGGGACGTATATTATTCATACCTAATTACCGTCTGTCCCATTGTACATTGCTAGCTGAAGTAGGTTCTGGCTGAAGAAAGGTTACAGGTGGCTAGACGATAAAATGACATCAGTTCTTGGAGTTTTTGTTTATTGGTTTGAGCCATTGCACAGCAATGTCAGGTCTCACTGTGATATTCAGTTGCCGATTGACTCTAAATTAAGTCTCCTGAGCAAGTTTCATATTATTCACCCTATTCTTCTCTTCTTGTAGGAATTTACACTGTCTAAACCTTTAATTGTATTGAAACTAGTCATCTAAATTCTTTTCTTTTTTATATTAAAGATTTAGCTGTTGCTGCCGGACCGTACGTTTACGTTTATCGTAAATTATTACCTTTTTATAAGTACACTTTACCGGTAATGCAACCTCTGTCTGATGAGTTTGAACTGTGGGAGCAAGCTAGGCAGGTAAGTTCCCCAAAGCATATTTATCTCTGTCGTCTTTTTATTCAGGTTGTGACATTATCACAAACAATAACTAGGCTTGGAAAGCTTTCGCTAACATTTCATTTTGGCGAAATTCGGTACTTTATCTCCGAATTTGTTCATGGTTTTTTACTGCATAGATCGTTGCCCTACTACAGTGCCACACGTATATGCCTCTAAAATCATCTTTTTTCAATCAAATATGTGTGTGGGTAATTAATTTTTATAAATGCATAAGCTTTACTATTCCATTCCTTTTAATGTTAGGCAAATGGGAAAATGCAAAAATTCCCATTTAGACATTTAGTAAAACAAACAATGTGAGCGAAGAAATATTTCTTTTCAATTAGTTCCTCATCAATGGCTCTACACTAATATAGCATTTTCAAACGTAAAATTACATACCAATCTAGTGGTGAGAGTTGTTCAGTGAAAGGTTATCAATCTCAAAGTTTCAAGAAGGTGATAATTGGTCAGGTAATTAAGACAGTTAACTAAAGCAAAGATTAATTATCGTAGAAAGATTTTGCGAACAGGTTCTTACATAATTGATATTTTATATAATGATAACTAAAGAGCAAAAATGAACTGTTACGTAAAATGGTAAATTGTTGACGGTAATTAGAGACAGTAGGGGGAGAGAAAGATGATTAAGTCTGTAATAATAATAATAATAATAGTAATAATAATGGAGCTGTTGAAATACTAGTTATAGTGAATTGTGTGGTGGATGAAACGAAGAGTCTTGTTGTAATAAATGAGCTATACAGATGGCCAAGGCAAAGAAAGAGGCTGTACGAATCTCTTCTGAACACACAGACTTGGCTTGTGTAGGTGGATTCCTGTGGCTTCTGCTGTGTGTAAAAGACGGACTCGTAGAGGATGGGTGAGGTGAGAAGGAATGCCTTTAAAGTTATTTATCACATTGGTTCTGGCAGAATACAGGCACAGCAGCCTCCGATTTGCTAACCCAACTCTCTATCGGTAGAGCTGTGAGACCCAGCTGTACCTTTGATAGCGGCTGGTTTATCACTCAGAAGTCGAACAGGATCTGTGTATTATAATTTCACATTTACTGGTTATTCTTTGTCGTGACTAGCCTTCAGTAGCCAAAATTATAGCTGTTATTCACTCTAAATATCAGGTGCACGTAAATTACGCTTGTAAAATCTGTCTATATCCACACTTAGCAGGAGATTAGTGTTACGACTTCGCCTTGTAGTAATTTTCTGAAGATCTACTCCTAACGCTGACTTTACACGTTATTAGTCTCGTATATATGATGAGTTACGTAACCTAGCCCTCCCAGTCCCGTATAACAGAACACAAAGTCCTTCTTGTCCGTATATATTTTAAGGTCGTCTAACTCATCTGTATGTACAAATAAATTACATAACCGCAATGCAAAATAATCTATAAAAAACCAATTTCAATCATAAAGAAATGAGATCATGGATGCAATTATTTCCTAACTATATATCATACAGAAATGAATCAGGGACCAATCGAAATTTCTTGAGCTGAGCCGCATTATACGTTTACCAAATATGTCATCATAAAAATGCCTACTGAAATGAATAAAACAGTACAAGTGGTAATACTTATCTAAGACTCACTTTTCCCATTTTCCGACCAATTTAATAACTAGTATAAAGATAAAACTCGATTATCCATCAAATATGTCGTAACAAATTTTTTTTTTTACTATTCTTGTAATACAATTCACAGGGCCAATTAACCGCTGAGGAACTACGTGCAGAACTTGAAAAACTGAAGTAAGTTTCAGTAGTAGCTTTATCATATCAAAGATTTTAAAAAAGTTATAATCTTTTATAATCACTTCAGAATAAGGATATTGTACGTTTGCGGCACTTAAACAACAGACAGTCTAGTCATATGTACCATACCGATATCACATCAACTTCCAACCCGTTAGTACTGATAAGACTATCAATGTGAGTGGAGTGATCAGAGCTTTTAACTACTTCTCTCATTTTCGAATGATGCATCGGTGCACATAGATTCTGAAGTTATAAGGTGCACTAGAAAGTAAAGAAACATGTTCTGAATATCACTACTGTGTTGCTGTGGCTGTTGGGAAGACTGCGTATTCCTTCAGTTCTCAAGTAACAAGTATCTCATCTGCATATTCTGAGGCTTTCCGAGAAAGCTTGGTTGTGTTTGATTCATGTCAAGCCGGACTAAAGATTGTAAGATTCGAGAATACATATGTGATTAAGTTGAAGAAAATTAGAAAGAGTGAACATTTTTCGACTAAGCCAACTCAGTAGTTAACTTACTTTATGCTCTAACATGATCATGAATGTTACAGTAAATAGTTGGAAGTAAGACAGTTAACCTATTAAGTACACACTTCAATGACAGGCGTATCGATTAATTGATGCCTTCAGATCAGACAATGTGACTACTGTTAGGCGTGGGTATATATATATATATATATATATATATATATATATATATATATATATATATATATATATATATATATTTAATAAACTAGATTAATCAAGCTTACTTTGTGAAACTAATTCAGAAGGAGAATTACACCAACCGGCAGCATCGTTCTTCTGAAAGTAAGGCTGCAATTTTTATCATTAAGTGGTTTCAAGACAGTTTTACTGTTATCTCAAAGATACTTTTTTGGAAACTTATTTCCTGACTGACTAATTTTTGCATAAATAAATAAAAATTGGGAATGTATTACGTTGTTTTTTTGTGTCAGAATGCAGTTATCAAATGGAAAACATTAGGCATTTGAAGTGATTCATATTCTCTGATGAATAGTAATATCAGAAGGCAGTTTTATATGGAACGTTTTCTGTATTAGAATTCACCTCATAATTGGACTAAGTACTCACTTTGCTGAATGGTTAGGTTGTGTTGCAGAATTTCTGTAATTTGACCTCTAAGATACTCGTTTTCTTTTCAAGATGGTCAATAGCGAATCTGAACCAACTAAATAACCTTCAGGAAAGAAGAAACAGGTAGTAAGTTGCGTCATCATTTGAGGCTATTCACTTAGAAATGTTTTTAGATCAAATCCAAAACCACCATAATTAATAAAAAGCAATGGAGCAAAGAAAATTTTCTTTTCGACGAACTCATCACTTTTCTTTTTAGAGCGCGTTATTATTTGAAACAGTGGTTATTTATAACTTGATTAACTGTTCGGATTGAGTGTACTACTCATCAGTTTGCTATGTCTCATTGTATGAGTTTAAGTCATCATCATTAAAGGTAGCGGACATCTGAAGCCCTCAGGTACTTGACCACCATTATGCCTGTTGGAACCGCCATGTGGTCAGTGTATAGCTTACGAAGATGTCCTGGACAAAAGAAGTTAGTTCATAAGATAACAAACCTTTATCGACAGCTAGAAACAGTAAGTGTTTCTCGGAGTCAGTAGTTACTCATTAACTGAATCCGGCTGGAGTTTAGTTTTTTAGAAATCAACTCACGAAAAAGACATATTTCTTAAAGTATTTTCTCTATCTTCAGCTTTTAATTGCTTCCTTTCGCCAAATGCTGGTCTGAACATATTATATGCTCACTCTGCAACCATATTGTCGAAGCCTGTGTGCATCTCATAGTAAGCTCACCACTCAGCAACAATATCCCGGTGTATGTACTACACTATTACAAACCACATCACTTTACTATAAAACTCATTATTTCTGCCTGTTTGTCAAGAATTGTAATAATGTGTGGCGAACTCGGATCCTTGTCCTTTGAATATAAATCAAGTTTGCGAACCGTTAAGACAAGATCAATTGATTGTCAATTCCAGTCGTTTCTGAAGAACAATTGTCTTATGTGTACATCACGAACGGAATAAGCTGTGTTATCGTTTAGTGTAATCTTCAGTGAAATCATTTCCTTTATTTTAGTTATTTACATAAAATATTGAATATTAAATAAGAGCCATTCTAAAGTTGTAAATTTTGTATACTTGACTTTTTAAACATCCCTCATGTATTTTTACTTACTTACTAAGTATCACTAAATGTTTTAGGCCCATCTTGTCTAAGCTTACTGCAAGGACTATACGATATCTTCAGTTACCATTGGATTGTTTACATGAATTTTTCAACACATATCGAGTGGTTAAACTTGAGAAACAGGTAATTTTCTTACTATCTACGATTAGTGTTTAAAATTAGTTATTACCGAACGTATTCTTTTTTCATCTGAGCTTTTATTTATGAATAGATGATTTTCATTTCAGGTTACTGATGCACCTTGTAATACAGTTTAATTCTTATACTACTTTAGAATTACTTATTTGCATTTCATATTTGTACAGACTATAGTCACATGCCTCTCTAGTGTCAGTAAACAACACAGTGGACCTAATTCTTGGGATTGCTTAATCGTTGGCACAGAATCTTGTTTTGTTTACATTTACGACTGTGTAACTCACAATATTTTAACTGAGGTAAGTATTTTATGTTTTTTATCAATCATTAGTCAATTTGTATTTGGAAACTCATCAGTAACATGTCCACCACTTGAATGGAAGACCTTTTGCTTGTATCTGATATGATGTTGAAGATATTCACTACTTTGAAATCTTAAAATACAGCAGTTTCTTCCTTTTGATATAACTAGGGTTGAACAGTCCATCATATGATATTATTCGCAGGTATAAACTGTCTCCACATTTTTATCTGTTCACTGTGAACAACAAAATCATGTGCAAAAATGGGTTAGGCTATGTACATCGCACTCTACAGATCTTCAAGGAAATTCAGAAAAGATGTAGACATTTCGAAAATTTGAAGACGACTTTGTATTAAAAAACCTCAACTTAGTTGAAATTTCTGCACGTGTATGGTTAGTTTAATACAGATCATAAGTGCACACCTCTGAAATAAGTCTGAGGTAAATAAATCCGATTATGCTGTATGACTGGAATACCACTATTGCTTATCAGTTAATGAATAATCACTTCTACATTTTAAGGTGGTTTTCTCGCCAAATCGATATTAGCTGGAGAACCACTGAAAGCCTGGAAGCACTAGACAGCTGTTTTGTCCTTGATTTAAGCTAACCGCTACTTCCCACCCACGAATCTGTGACAACAAATACAGTATGCCCTATTTACTAATTTGGCTTCAAAATAAGCAATTTTACGTAGATTAGGTTATTCGAGTTTTCTCGTGAAATAATGCGTAATCCAAATTCATATTTCTTTACAAACACTAGTATATCTCTAATTTGAGGATGGAATAACCTAGTTTAATGTAAATCCGGAATTTTAGCTCTTCTTATGTATTTTCTTTGAGGGTATCTCTGATACCTGCTCATTTTTATCAGAGATACCTCACCGTAACTCAGCTTTTAATGGTTCCTATCAAATAATATTCAACTCCTTTTAGTGTAAAAGTCATCATTTTTTGCTGCGAATAATGAAACTGAAAGTAATGATAAAAGTGAGTTACGAATCTGTATAACGTAAAGCAATCTACTTTTCATGGTATAAAGAGCTTAGATATCAGACTTTTCTATGAATATGTTTTCGACTCATTAGGTGTGTTCAGAAAGTATTATATTCTCGGATAAAAGATACTGCCCATAAGTAGTATGTCGGAGCGCAGTTGGGTAGGTGACTGAAATGACACTTGAACCTGGCTTTGGATTTAGTCTGGTATATACAGTATACACCACTAAGGAGGGCTGTCAGTCAAACAGAAACTACGCTCAGGTGAACTGTTTACAACTGACTATTGTTACGATGTACAAGCTAATCGTTAATGATACTATTGGTCGAATGGGTTGATTTTGAAGTGCTTTTCGGAATTATTTGATTTTGAAATCGTTTACACCGGTTATTGACATCAGCCGCAGATCCATCGAAAATCAGTATCATCTACCAATCTCTTGATGTTGCTTGGCTTTACATGTAATTTATGTTGATCATTGAGTGTTACGATATACAATCTCTTTTTATACCTCTGAGTTGCATGAATTATAAAGATTAAAAAACAGTAACCTACGTAACAAACTGCGTACAACCTTACGATTCCCATATGTTGTTTTCCGGAAAATAATATTGTGGCTGTAAGCTTGGGCACTGTGGTAGAGCATGGTTTCATAATAGATCGTTTATCCTATATAGCACACAGTGACGCAGTATTATTTGTTAGATGGTGTTTCAGTCATAATTTCTTTGCCTTATCAAAGTAATCACGCAACTTTCAAACTTTAACTAGTAGTAAAATTTCCCAAATACCTGTAATGAACCATTCCTGTTGCATGTCTCTGGTATAGATTCGATGAACAAAGATTAGGTCGTCGATCATTCGTTCTCCTTATCTGTATTAAATTTCAGAATTTCTTCTCTATCCCACTCGAAATTATGATTAAATCAGTGCATGAAGAGCTATTCTGACCGACTCAAATTACCTGCTTTGACTTATAAACTTGACCTCACAATCAATGCATGGTATTTGACAGATTAGGTCTGATGATTCTTTTATCCTAAGTTTCTCCCTGTGTGAGCTTACGGGCTTAATTACCACCTTACTTCCAGCATTTTTAGTTCTCTGTAATGTTGATATATCAAAAAGGTACATCAGAAAGTATACGTAGGATCCTCAACAATATGAACTTTTGGAATTAAAAATTGATTTTTGGTAGTCAGTCAGGTTCATGGTGACCATTTCAATTGTTAGCTTTTTGTCTTCTAGACTTGTTTTAATTTTTTTTTTCACTGTACTACGCCACTAAGTAATGTAAACTGCAACTACTTTTACCACATTTTAAGAGATTCGAAAAGTATTGTTTTGAAACCAACCCGTTTGCCACTCATGTGATGCCAGCCATGACATGACAGTGATAAAAGAGAAATGAACAAACGTTTCACACTCAAAAACTTTTTTTGACATACTGAACTGACTCAGGTCATGTAAGTAGGTCAATGCAAAAACTGCTACTATCAAATATTTAATTGTATGTATCAATTATCAGTAGTATAATCATCTGAAATCCTAGAAGGGTATGCATATCACACGATTCTACGAAGATTGAAGCTAACCAACTAACTGGAAGTGTATTACTTATGAAATGATTTTAGCCTATCTGCTACAGACATTCTTACAACAGATTATGTTTCCATGAGCACACTAATGTTCTAATTTCGAGATGATTATCACTATTTCAGTGCTAAGCAAAAATAGTACTTGAGACATTTTCCATCTTTTGTTAATTATTTATAAAACTTTCTGGTCGGTCTTAAGTGACGTGTCAATAATTAAGTGAAACTGAAAAAGTGGGTCATGGAAGCATTCTAGACAGTTCCCTCTAGGCAACCGATCCAACGCTGTACCGACACAGCCAAGAAGCCCAGCTTCTTATCAGCTTTCAGTTTCACTTATATCACGAAGAATTAGGTTTTCGTCTCAATAAGGGATAAATGACTGTCCGTTAGTTAATAAAAAGATGAGACTTTCATACATATCTTACTGTTTTATTTAATTTCTTACAATTCAGATTGCACTTCCGTCCGTTCCAGTTCATCTAAATGCATTGGGTTCTTATGATATTGATTATCACATTTTAGTGACTTGCCGTAATGCAATAATTTACTCAATGAAACGGTAAGTAATTTCATCGAAAAGATTTGGACATGTTTTTCGCAGATTTCGACATAATAGATTGCATCCTTTTGAATATGCGCTGATTTAGTAATCTTCGGATACGAGCATGACGGTCTGTTTTTATATATATTGCGTCCTTGAAATTGGTGATTGCTACAAACAGTGGTGGTCGGTAGTATCGATAAAAATATAAAGCTTTAATAAACCACCGCAAACTACTTTTAGAGACGACTGGAGATTAATAACCGCACTGGTGAATATATTCATTGATTACCATATGAATGCTACCTGCAAATTACCTAGTTTATTTCTAATTTATGATTGTCTCATGCTAAGATACTACTCATCAGTATTTTGACAATAACTACAATTTCGGAATGAATACTGTGCGAGAGAAATAAAGAACATCTAGAGGTTTCAGCCTTGGGTGATGATAAATCAATTAAGAAGAGTGGTTTGAACGCCCTTCCCTAAATCCTTCACACATGCATCTATTGCTAACCCAGTTGTTATTCAATTCGATGGGTTGTATTTTTGATAAAGTTTGGTACAGGTTTCATATGAAAATAAAGACAATTGTTTACTTTTTTAGTTCTAAGGCGGAAAAAAGTAGAAAATAATTCTACTATAACTCAGTTGAAACTTTCCTAACTATTTGAGTTTCAGAATAATTTGGTTGGCTGTGAATATGATACTTTCAAAACTTCTCTCGCAGAAGAAGAGAAGAATAGGAAATTTGTGTAAAGAATGAATAAATGTCAAAAACGTAAACATTTTCTTAACCTATGGAACATCAACTCTGGTGCTTAAACTGAGTTAATATAGTTGGAAATTTCAACACTACCATACCCACTTCTGACTGGATTAAACTTCAAAACTCCATCTCCATAACCACTGAACTATTATTCCACTAAAATCAATCAATTCTTAACAAACCGTACAAATGAATTCAACTGATTTAATAGGCAGTATTTTCTTGAAACGTTGCCATTTGGTTTAATGTATTACTATCTTTCAAATATCAACGTATGTCTTCTTACTGAAGTAAGTTTAAACTTCATGCATCTGTCATACAGTTTTATAAGAAGTAGTTTCATATGTTGCGTAAGTCTTTGTTCTGTGATTTGAATTTAGGTTGCAGTCATTATACACCTTTAAGGACTGACAGTTTAAAACCTATTTTAATTTGACAACAAATTAAATACCACTGTTTGTAGTTGTGCGTGTTTTGAGAGGAAACTATTAAAATATTATGAATGTATTAGACCTATATGTGTGAGAAAATTACTCTGGTGTTTCTTTAACTGTTTTCGAAGTTATTTTCACATCTTTTTTTAATTGGAGTATCCTAAAGTAGCTTATAACTCTAATTCCTGTTATTCTTGTTGTCACTTCTAAAACTTTCGTTTTTCTAAGTGGAGAAAACCATACCAAGGCATTTATCGACCCTGGATCACAAATTGTTGGTTTAGTTCGCTCAAATAAAGCTATTATTGTTGCTTGCATGGACCAAACAGTCAAAGGCTTTTCATTAAAGGTAGTTAATGATACAAAGTTGACTACAGTCAATGTGCCTTAAGTATATTTACAATATAGATCTACAGTTTTATTATTTTTTGGGTTAAATTCCAGTTACCAGTTCGACCATAGGTTAACATTTCACTCTGCGTTTTACCCTGCATGACTTATTGGAGCAAGATATTTTGCCTGTACTCTATGTACGCGTTCTAAACTCATCATCGAACCTATAATGTCTTATTTTTACAAGGGAGAGAGAAGATCCTGCCTTAGTTCAATTTTAGAACATTTAATAGATTCTGGACACCTGGTGTGCATACAGTTTAACTTCACTGTAATCTACAGAATACTTGAGAACGTTATGAATGACATTGTGAACAAAACGTTTTCAAACTGCGGGAGCCATGGCAATTCATATTTTAGGGCTTTAGCTCTGTCTGCAAGAGAAGTTTGTTAAGTTATTAGATTTACAATGGACTGTTTGGAGATTTTACCTTTGCGAAATATTTTCCTTCGCGCCTTTACTAACTTATTAGGTCTTCTCGCCTAAAAACCTAGCGCTCTTTCGCAAGTCTAATTTCTCAAAGTTGTACATTTTTCTTGTGTCAAAGTTTGATAGTTAAAAATGGCTTGCCAAATATGGTAACAAAAATAGTGTCGGTACAAAAATTGAGGTAAATGTTAAAGATCCATCGAAACATGACTAGAGTTGCATAAAGATAAGAATGAGGACAAAAAATTTCGTAATATGACAGAATATTTGGAAACTGAAGTATGATCAGGAAGAGCACAAAAACAGGAATGTATTGCAAATTATGTTAGAAGAAAACGGTTTTGAAAGAACAATGTGATTTCAAAGACTGGAAAGACGATGAAAGAAGAAGCGGTTCAACAAACGGTTTTTGCTTACAGAGTCCAGATTTCTCCATATCATTGGCAAGAACTTCAGCATTTCAGAAAATATGAAGATATATATATATATATATATATATATATATATATATATATATATATATATATATATATATATGACTTTTCATGGTTCGTTGACTTTACGCAACTATAGAGAATACGGAAATAAACTTACCAAGTACTTCGTCTTCATAGATAAATGCATCTGCGTGGACAAAATGGTGGGCTGATGTTTGCCCTTTACCCTGCCTGTCTATCAACTTAGAGACAAGTATGAAACATAACGACTGATTGTTTTGCTAATACAAAATTATGAGACATGATTGACGATAGGAAATGAAATGAGAGAGTACAAGCTTCAGAACAATGCAGCCATTTTCGCAATCCATATGTCTAGTTAGAGTTGATATAGTATTGCTTATCTACCTTCTAAATTGTTATAAATCATTCATTTTTCGATGTCTGATGTGATAATAAGCCATTTATTTTTTTGTTTTACTCCAGTTTCTTTTCTTTGTACTACTCTTAAGGGTCGACCTGTTTGGACAGTCAGACACTCATGTGAAATTGTAACTTTAGCTCCAATGAATTTTGTCAGTACAAATAATAGAAATCATGAAGTTTATTATATTTTATGCTTGTCAGATGGTTCAGTTAACATTTATTGTGACCAGCATTTGTGTGATCAATGTATGTCATTTATTCCTTCGACTAGAGATGGTGGGAATAATACCAGTGATAAAAATAGTAGTTCTTCAGACAAAACCATTTCTGATCATTTGAATAGTGTAAAGACTGCAGAAAGAGAGCAGAATAAAAGTCAGTTAGGAAAATTAATTGATTGTCAACTGTTGAAACCTGACCCAATTGTTGCTTGCCGTTTTGGGAAATATGACAGAGAGTCGAACACACTGATACTTATATCTCAAGGTTTGTCAATACATTTTACATCCAGAAATATTCCTTATTGATAGTACATTATATTCTGAAATCATTTTATTGCTAAACTCAACATTCATAGTTTCATTTACAAATGGTCGAATACAACTGACTTAGCAAATAGGATTAAAGTTGGCTGTCTGACTACTGGGATTAGTTTTCTCATGCTTTAGTTACCATCCAAGATTGTTACACCAAAAGTATGCTCATCCGAAGTTCCAAGTTGAACCATCAATAGTAAACTTGCTGTAACACCTGATAGCAAGAAAGAAACTATGTTTACTAAATGAAGTCAGTGCTTCATTTTCGTTTCCACTAACTTGTAGTTTTCATTAGTTATACCAAAGAGGTGAAAGGTCTGAAAATAACTTGTTAATCGAGTTTCAAGAAAAAGAAATAGGGAACTTCCATACCTAAACTTTAATAGATTATATTTTGTATCAACACAACTGATGTCTTATTGCAATATTCATTCATTATTTATGTCAGCATAGTTTTTAATCTTGAAAACCACTCTAGTTTTTCCCCTTTTCAAAAGAAGAGAAAAATTAATTTTGACACTGTAAAGTCAACTAAATCGTTTGATTTTTAAAAATAATAGTAATCACTTTATTCCAGACAATGTTTGATACAGGATATAGAATTCTGTGCATGTAATATTTCAAGAAACTTATCCCGTGTACAGTATTTATAAACCAAATAACTATAGAATCCTAGTTATGTTAATAACGGTATTACAGGCAATGATATGAAACTTTATATGAACTACGATCAAGATTTGACTAAATTGTTTCGGAAATATTGGGTGATGAGTAAAATGTTGACATTAAATATAGTTTATACTTTCGTAAGTCACAGTGTGTTGGAAATGAAATAATTCCGTTTCACAAGGCAGTCTGGTCCTAGCTTTTAGACGGAGATTAACAAAATTAAAATATTTTAATTTTGATATCTAACCTACTAGATGAACAGATACAGCTAACTTGGCACTAAACTGAGATGATTTCTGATTATGTTTCAATGTAGGTGGACATATGTTCATTTTAATTGTGAAACGTTCAGCTGCTTTTATCCCAATAAATGTAATATCCGATCGTACGTTGAATAAACTTGATCAACTGAATATCCCTAAGAAGTCAAAATTATTCATGGATTTGATAACTCGTGAACAATTGAACGCATCACGTAAGTATTTTTCTTATTAATGTCCATTTGTCATTGAGTCATCTTCGATTAAAATAGGTATATGAATTCAACAAATGAATATTTTAATTGTGGTCTCATTCATATTTTAATTCACTCATTAGGTGTCATTTACAAATCCGATTTCTGGTAGCTATTGATAATTGAATGCACACGTCTAGTATCAAAAGTTCGGCTCAGTGTCCTAATCATGGTGCTATTATATACTGATCGATTCTAGTATGTACTGAAGATTCAAAAAGTATATGTAGTATATGTAGTTGACTTTTTTTCAGTGTTTATTCTTACTACAGATGTCTACCAATTTACTTAAAAATGTTTTACCTTCAGAAGAACGCTCATGCGTATCAAAAGTTGATAATGATCGGACATATATAGTCAAAGCAGGCAATTTCCGTTTCCAACAGCGATATATATATATATATATATATATATATATATATATGCTATGGGCTATAGAGAAAATAACTTTTGCATCACACTAGCAATAGTTATTAACTAGTTCATTACTGAGTTTTATTGCCAAAATGTTGCAATGTATGACTTACTATCGTGAAATTTACTGAGAAAGTGATTGAAGGTTAGAAGTAACTGAACCACAGAAGGATTCGAATCTGAGCTCTAATCGTTTGAATCTTGCTGTAACTTCGGTTTACCAAACTGCAGTTATTATCCCCCTACAAAGCCAGTTTGCTAGACACGGAATATCTCAAATAAACTGTCCTAAAACCTCACACTGATCTGTACATTATACATAAGTCACGCCCATACTTCTAGACATGCCTCAACAGAATTTTAGTAACCTTAGAAGCTTCTGTCTGCCCGTATCAGATTATCACAACAGATAATTAAAAAAATACGTAATACTGAATTCGTCTAGAATAAGTCTACTAAGATTCACTACTCTTCATATGTGCAGATAGCATATTAATTTTTTCCAGGAAAAAAAGCTATTAATTTTCACAGCTGGCAAACAAAATACTTCATCAGAAATCTTCTTGATACTTGTGTTTTCGAAATATCAGCTATTGTCCCATAACGATGACAGGCTTACTTTTGAACACGATCAAATGATATTATACTCATTCACAAATCAGTCTCATATGGTCATTAAATAATGAAACATCAATTACCGAGTAATGAATGGTCGAGCACTTCCCACTAAGTTCTCAGCCCTATCTGGTACAGAAAACTACAACTGGGTCGAATAAGTTATTAACTCAAACAAAGTATTTCACAATTAAGTTGAAGTTGTTGCTTACATATCTATTCACAGACCAGTGAGATGAGATTAATAAAGTATTGCAACGGACTCCGGTTCATAGAAAGAAACCGATACAAAAGGGCAGTGAAAACAAATTAAAAACCAATAATTGTAAAGGTCACTCTAGCAAATACTAAGAAAATCGGCTTGGTTTCTTTGTAAAATGAAGAAACTACTTTCGACAATTGTGTAGTATTCTTCAAGCTTTAGGGTTTGTTGTTAAACGTTTCACGAGGCTAGAAAACTTTGTCAGTATTCACTTTTTTAGGAAGTACGTTATAGTTTACAGTTCATGAATTTATTGACGTGAACTCAAAGCCACAACACAAATAAAAAATGAACATCAAATTCATTCAGACTATTGAATGAGTGACATACTCTGGCAGTAAATGGCCTTCACATAACATTAAATTATCACAACGGAAAGATAGTCTATAAACATTGTTGAAAATAATCTAAAAGTGATAACGTAAAAAATGACTATCTCGGTAACGCCTCTTGGACACATGAAAGTAATTTATGAAAGATGTATCAAAACTAGGCACTTTTGTTAATTCCCATGTCTTTCAAGTAGTTATAAACTGTGTTAGTTTACGTGGCATCCTTTCGATTACCTCCAACTAACCAACACTTATCAAAGCTCTCTGTGACTGTGAACTTTCTAGCCACATCAAAAAATGATCGATGATAGATTTCTGTCAGCACTCAGGAATGGACGACATGAAATTGCTTGCTCTTCGGAAATCAATCAAAGTCATAAACTGCATAATATTATAACGACAAATGGCTTATCTCCTTGCTAGGATGAAAATGCAAAAACATTGCAAGGTATTATCCAGTAGGTCAGGTTTTCATCGCTATCTGCTCACTCGTCTAAGGATTCTAACCTGCATTTATTTTACAATAACCAGTAACACTATCCAGGGTAATATCATAAATCAGTGGTACAGGATTCATTAGCCTATTAAACTGCTACAACTTTTAAAATCACTCATAAAAAACTTTGTTGATTTTTCATCATCATAAATTTCCTGAAGTCCTAGTGGAAGCCGCGAACTCATGAATCTATCAGGTTGGGTGCGACGCTAAGTTCTCACCGATGGCATTGGATAATGATCGAGCTATTTCACGAATTGACAGGAACACTAGAATGCAGATCACTGGATTCCACCCTCTAATGGTTGAATGGTAACGCGCTCACCATAAGACCTAACGGTTCGGTGCTTTATGCCTCATAAGGCATGGGTGCGCACTTCTGAAGAATACAAAACTAGAAAGGTGGTCCAACTGATGTCAGTCTATGATGAATGCTACCTTGAAAAAAATCAGTCCCGCAAAGTACCACTTGGACCAGATACTATTCAACAGTTTTATATATGATACGGCCTTCACTGTTGATTTTTTTGTAATTGCTTTAGAAATGTACCGACAATTCATGCATGATTTGAGTTTCATAAAACGTTCAGTTGCAACCACCTTTCTTAATGTATTGGAGAGTCATTCCACTCCAATTCCATTATCTGGTGTTGGCGAACAAATCAAATTGGATGTTCAGGTAAATATTTTACTGTCACAATGGAAGGTGTTTATTGGAAGCTCAGCTTTTAAATGAAGTGACCACATGTCTTTGGTAACATATCGATTATAATTTGAATCTGTGTTATGAGATGAGAGTTCAAGTTAAAAGTTTTCTTATTGTTGTTTCAAGTGTTATCATTGACTGATAACTCACTGAGTAAATCGGAGTCTGACTTCATTCCTTGATGAGAACAGGTAATTAGTGTTGCTTAACGGCTTCTATGGTTTTCTGACTGGATAGGTATAACATCAGGTTCTCGTTGTTGACACTAGATAGTGATTTTAACGTATTGTGTACTGATGAACATATGACTAGCATGTTAGCCACAAGGATAAATTGTTTTGAATTGTATATATTATGAGGCTGTGGATGAACTCTGCTGAGAAATCCTAAACCAGAATGAGGAAACAGTAGTTTTGCACCCAGTGATTTTCAACAGTTCCTCGGTGACTGTTAGTCCATAGTGAGAAATTCTTTGAAAAAGATTCACAGAGTTTTCACGATACCTGTAAAAACCTTGAACACCACTGGGTATCGAATTTTATCTTTAATAATAGGAAGAGCGTTATTTCTTGACATCTGATGTCCGTTTTTTACTAATAGACTCACTGAAAATAACATTCTGCTTTGTATTTGTTTCTCTCAGCAACCTAATAGTGCATGGTTCAGTTTAGGATATTCTGACATCTGTTAAGTGTAAAATGACTTTTGACCCGATTTGCAGTGGGTTATTGAAAAGGGTTTCATTGTAATGACTAGTCTCCTGTAGTGAACACAAAATTCAAGTCTCAGAGGTCAGTACATATAGATTTTAAAGTCAAAATTTGGTATCTTTTCTGGACAACCTTTTCAATGTATCTTAACTGCCAGTTCGTTATATGACTGTTAGCGTTTACATCCACAAAATCCCTTATGTGCTAGGTTTCTATAAGAAAGAAACTATTTTGAAGACTTTTCTGAGCTGTTAATATTCTTGTCTTATCAAAACTGGTAACTGGAAAAATAGTTACTACAAATGTCTATTGAAAATGCTTCTTGATCAAAGTCTTCACATACACTTTTTAGAAATAAAAGACGCTGTTAAGTCTTTGCACCGTTATATTATTTTGTTGTTTGTTCTTGGAAATATTAATTTTCTAGGTTCAAGGCCTTGGACCTGAGTATACTTTGATTTGTGAAATATTTCAGATGAAAAGCAGTACTATATCAATTGCGAATGGTTTATCTATCCTAATATTATTCAATCCTTCAATTTTCCGAGTGAATCCAGTTTTAATTCCAGTAAGCAATAAGATTTGAAATTTTTTGTTTGGTTTTGAACACTTTTTCACAATCAGCTTATACCACTAAACTTTCCGATAGTGTTATACGTATTCAGAAGTTATTCGATGATGATTGATAATGATGATTTTAAAACTAACGGCTTCAAAATTCATTGAGAAAGCAATCTGAAGGTACTTAGTTCTTATGAATCCAGGAATACAACTTATTACCTGTCTATTATGTTCTGTGCTTGAGTGTAATTAAACTAAGAAGGCAATGAAAATAAATTATTAGTATAACGCTTTGAAATCTTTTTATGGACGACAGTTCGTCCTAACTTTAGTTTTTCACTGAGGTGATTTCATGAATTATTTACCGTATGATGTAAATTAGAGGTATTGAAGCTACAAGGAGTTGGAAACAATGCTACTAGCTTTTATGGATTTTTGTTAGTTTTCGAGACCTATTTTTTGCACTTTATTAGTAGGATGTTTACTGTGTGTACTATGAGCCAGTGGTCACAAATGAATAGATTAATTTTTCTGGATTAGTTGTTCAGACTGTTTAATGTTACTTATTTTTGATGAATAAAGGTAGTTCATTCCTTAAGCTGAATTGGAAGCAGGGATATCATCTAGTAAGCATAACAGCAAGTCATCAATTCCACATTTTATACTAACTGTAATCGTGATCTTTCGATTAAAAAATATTTTCGCAGTTAAATATACTTAGTTTTGTCTTATTGTCACTTGTTCATTTACATAATTTTGTCTTGAATGCAAGAAAAACGCAATTCGTTGACTTATGGAAAAAATAAGAACAAGTATAGGTTCATTATTTACTCGTGTAGTGCACAGAGAAGTCCCTTATAATTCGAAGATTCTGAGTATTTCCCCACAGCTTACCTAACAAAGCATTGGAACGACAAGCGACAGCCTACTTGGTAGAACCCTGTTCCCCTTCGTTTAAATCATAAACGCTACATAGTTTCATCGTGTTAATTAATGTTATCCTGGATAGTTCTACAGTAATTTTTCTTCTAACTATTTTTATTGTCTTAGCTGGCAACAATTATCCCTTCTTTAAAATATCGTTACACATCACGTGTTTCTTTGATCCGTGATACATTCAAAGAAGAGGAAATAAAGGTGAGCTATTGAAAATCTACTTAATCTACGAATACGTTTGTGTCATCTACTTATATATATATATATATATATATATATATATATATATATATATATATATATATATATCCAGGCGTTTATCTTTGAAATTCATGCGATTTCTACTTATTACAATCGAGAAACAGTAGTGTATAAATGTTTTTGATCATATTCCCAAATTAATAAATACGATAAGCGGCACAATTATCGTAAAGAAACCTAAAGATGTTTCATCTGCTATTGACTTAATTGAGATTTATGCCATACACACTTGAATTAGTATGTAGGTACATAGTAGGTAGTTTTTGGAAAATCAAGTCTCTTTTAAACTGTTGCAGACAACAATGACATCAGAGTATGAACCTTAAACATGGTGTATCTAAGTTTGACGATTATTCTCATAAAACAACATAAAATTTCCTAAAATCTAAAAGTAGTCATTTCACCAATTAACTTCCATTTTCTCTGATGTGTTTGTACATGTTTACATTATATAAAAGGATTGTATGTTTCCGCATTCAATATTCAACGTAATCTGTGCATAGATTTATGTAACTTCTTTCTCATTAATAAATTTCCATTCTAAGATTTGACGCTATTAAAATTACTTTTAAAAAACACCACATCGAAGCTCCACTCTCAGATAACATTAATGTATTACGCTTTTAAGGCCCCATTGATTTTGTCTAGAAACTTTATTATAACCACTGATAGTGAGGTTTTCGTCAATTTCGACTTTCTGCACATTAACATGAAATAGTCGCCTAAGTTGTTTACAGAATTATTACCTATACCTATATTTATTTCAAACATATCCAGTATTTACTTTAAAAGAAGCGGATTATTCATAAGGTCGAGCAAACTGCACAACTGTAAATGCATTGTCTGTCTATTCCGAATGGTCAATCTCGCCTGGTTAACTAGTTACTAGTCGATCCTAAGCCCGGATAAAGAGGAAAAGTTGGACATAAGGCTAGCAACCCTACCTCGTAAAACCAATACAATCGCTAAAGAAACTTCAAAGCACAAAGAAAATATAAAACTTAAAAACAAACTTATTCCTCGCTAGAATTGGAGAGACGAAATGACGCCGGTTGGTGAAAGCCTAGGGAAAAACAATTGTCCGATATCTTCGCTTCTCTCCATGAAAGCGAAAGTCAGAATGGAGACATGGAATGTCCGCACCATGTTTCGACGTAGCAAGGCTGATCAGATTGCGAAAGAGATGAGATGTACTAGGAATCTCCGAAAGCAAATGAAATGGAAGTGGACTCTCCAAACTGTCAACTAAAGAGTCAATAATCTACTCCGATATTGTCACACAGATAACAACCACGAGCACACTGAGTTATGGAGTGACTATCATGATGTCCCCTTGAAGAGCATCGAAGGGTGTCTCTTATGCAATGGGAACCAGTCTCCTCCTGCAGGATCATGACAGCATGATTCAACTCAACAGAAAGGAAAGTCACAATCATACAATGCTACACCACACTAGCCTACACACCTACAAATAACGGAGATGAAGAGTAGAAGGAGGAATTCTGCAGACAACTGCAATCAGTACTGGACAAGAAAGACTCCACTCCACGTGGCGACATCAAAAGTCATTCTAATGAGTGGGGTGACATGAATGACAAACTGGGAGGAGACAACACAGGAAACGAATTGTGCATGGGTCGAGAAACACTCGGTGAAGTGATGAATGAGAATAGAGAACTGTTTGCAGACTTCTGTGCATTCAACGATTTGATGATTGGAGGCGAGGTGGTGTGTACAAACACAAGGATATTCACAAGGCAGTGACATGGATTTGATTTCACCAGACACCAGGACACACTACACTTAAAATCAGATCGACTTCATCTCAATGTGAAGAAAGTGGAGACGCAGCCAGCCTACTTGACACAAGATCGTGTCAAGAAGAGGAGGAGATGTAGGTTCACACCACTCACTATCTAGTGCAAGCAACCTACCTTCCAAATCAAGTTGAAAGCCTTCAAAGTTGTTGGTGATAGACAGATCACAGTTTAAGTTCAACAACCACCCAGAACAGGAACTGAACTGAAGGATGAAACTACAAAGGACATCTTCACATTAGTCAGTCAGCCATGAGGGGAAAATGGGAGACATTGAGCTACATCCCTGAATAAACGTGTGTGGAAGAGCACTGGAGCTCTTTGAAAGAGACATGGAAGGAAAGCTGGATAGGTGTGTTAGGAAGGAAGAAGAAGCCGCAAAACAAGGAATGTATCTGGACGGACACATGGAAGCTGATAGAGAAGGGAGAGGAAGATGGTGAAGCAGAAGACGAACCAGTGCATTGCGAGGATAAACAACCAAAAGAGGAAGTGAACACAACCCATAAAACACTACACTGGACAAAGAAGTGAAGAAGAGTGCGCGGAAAGAGTAAAGACATTTCTATGACACACTTACAAGTGGAGCAGAACAGGCTCCAGGTAAGAGAGCTCTGATAACATCATATCAAATAACCAGGTTACTATCCGGTAGGGAGCAGACCAACGCAGATAAAAACAGTGAAAGATAGTCAAGGAAACTCAGTCACCGCCAAAGAGGTGAAACAAAGGGAACGATGGGCTGACCACTTCAAAAACTCTTGGATCGACCACCACCTGCACTTCGTCCAGAAATACCACCTGCAGCCACAGAACTGCAAGTGAACACAAGCCCTCCGACAAAAGCAGAAATCCTGAATGCCTTAAGGCTACTGAAATGCGGGAAAGCAGCAGGACCAGATGGGATCCCGCCAGAAGCACTGGGAACAGACGCAGAGACAACAGCGGACATGCTCACATCACTACTGCAGAAGGTCTGAAAGGAATGAAAGGTACCTGCCAACTGATTGGAAGAAGGGTTACCTTGTCAAACTCCCGAAGAAGGGCGACCTGTGTCTTTGCAAGGACTGGCGCAACGAGGAACTCTGGCTGGCTGGCAAGGAATCAACCAAGAACCCATCGCCCAACAAATATGCAAAAGAAAGTGGAGATGAATTGGATTGGGCATACACTGAGGGGACCATTCGGGGACATCACGCGCCAGGCAAGGCCCTCGAGTGGAATCCAAAGGGGGAACGACGAGTTGGGCGTCCCAGCTGAGGGTGACATGGAGATCATGTGAAGAAGAAATGAAAGTTACTGGGAAGTCGTGAAGCTAGGTTAAATAGGCTACAGAGAAGAAAGTGAAATGGAGACGTGCTACTGAAGCCCTATGTTTCACTAGGAATCCAAGGGACAAATAAATAATAATTGAGACTGACCACCTGGTTTGTACGAGTGGTAAAGGGAGAATAAAGCAGTTTCTCTGTGGAAAAATGAAATCACCTTGATAAAGCCTCAGTTAACTGGCTTATTCATAAGTTATACTTCATGTGCTTATCGTGTTTTTTTCGAAAGGAAGAACAAGATTTATAATACAACATTTAAAAGCCACAGAATTCAGAGCTCTTGATCGCAACGAATCATTTAAGAAAGGGTATTGGAAATATGATAACTGTATATCATACTCAGTTAACTTTGCTTGAACTCTTCATATATACATAAGTATGCTATTTTGTGGCTCTTCAATTATAATCTGTTTGTGAACCACTTTTCGTCGTGTAGTTGTAGATTATTATTATTATTATTATTACCGGTACAAATAAATTAATATATCGAGCCTAAATTTTAACAGCCATGTTATCCATTTAAATAAACCACACAGCATGCGAATCTTGTGATTTTCATACTTCACACAAAAGTTTATCATGTATATTAATTACTTAATATGGCTAAGTTGACGTAGTATAAACTATGCATATCTAGGGACTTCAGATCATTTCTGTTAACTAAAAAAGTCGAACACGAAATTATTAGCTTAACTGTGAGTGGAGAATCCTGATCACCTTCAGTTTTTATAAACCAGCAAAATAGATCTTTAGTAGATTGCGATGATATTCAACTTGACTTTATGAAGAATTTACTTTTTTTTAAGGTGGAAATGTTCTACATAACTTGATTGTATTCCGTAAGTTGTGATTGGTGATCATTAAACAGATGACACTTTGCTGAGAATCAATCGAGATCACAGTTTCTATGTTGATTGTGAATTTTGATTGATACTTACCCATAACTCAGATTTTCCACACAAAATCTTTCATTTCGAACTAGTTTTTTATAACTAGATGTTCGGTAGATTTTAGTTTCAACTGGAACAGTGTTTTATGGAACTTATTTATGTCCACATCAAAAATCATATTTTAAATTCGTTTTGAAAAACACTGCTTGTTTATTTGTTTTTTTTATTTAAAAACTTATTGTATAGTGAAGTTATCTTGTACTCCTTGCTTGTTTTGCTCTACAGGTACTTGTTGTCAGTAGTCAAAATTCCAGTTCAGTAGTTTCTACAGTGAAGATACCTATTAGTGAACCATTGATTGAAAATATTTAGTTAAATAATCATTGAAGTAATGAATGAAACTGTACAGACAATAAATTGCTCTTAACAAATAAATCTTTACATTTAACAGTATCATTCTAAGTTTTAAATGAAAAATTGTTCGTCAACATGATATTTCGAGAATTGAAGGGAAAGAGCAAAGTAGGGGAATTCAATCCAATTGTACACGAAATACAATTATTCCTACAGGATCTTATGCTTCAATGAACTTCGAAAACATCGGAAGATGAAAGCTAGCTGGAAGAATAATCTTAATCAAAATCGTACCATACGTAGACTGTTTTCATTTAAATTGGTTGAACCTACGACTAAATAGAATATTTTAATAAATTCAGTAAAACGCTCGTCTTCTACCACTAATATCATCATCATAAGTTGAAAACTGAAGTTCAAAAACTTCCGTCTCAGTAGATAATGACGTAAAATATTAATTTATATATTGACCACTTCCTTTTGAGCTGTTGTTATAGTAGATAACTTATCAATATTACAAAGACAGTGTACACAATTTTGTCACTAGCCAAATAATCTACATCATGCTCTACCACTTGATGCTGATTGAAGTTTGTTGACAGAATAAGTAAATTTACCTGAATAATATAAAGTATCGTGATATCATATGACTTTGTTTATATAAAACTGAAGGATAGGAGGATAAACAGAACAATTAAGATAACAATGATCAAATTTAAAAGTGTGAGGACAAAAGGGAAGAGTGGCATAACAGATTCAAATCTTGATAAGAAAAAAGAGTTTACCAACGAATGTGTAGTGTAAGAATAAATTGTTCCTGTACACAAAGGTGATTTCAATTTGTTTGGCTATCACTTCCATTGAACACTTCAAAAGCTCTTGAATCGACCACCACCTGCACTTCGTCCAGAAATACCACCTGCAGCCACAGAACTGCAAGTGAACACAAGCCCTCCGACAAAAGCAGAAATCCTGAATGCCTTAAGGCTACTGAAATGCGGGAAAGCAGCAGGACCAGATGGGATCCCGCCTGAAGCACTGGGAACGGACGCAGAGACAACAGCGGACATGCTCACATCACTACTGCAGAAGGTCTGAAAGAAATGAAAGGTACCTGCCTGTCGATGGGAACAAGGGCGACCTGTGTCTTTGCAAGAACTGGTGCAGAATCATGCCGCTCTCCACCCCAAGCAAAATATCATGCCGCATCACCCTAGAGAGACTGAAGGATGCACTGGATTCAAAACTACGACCGGAACAGGTCGGCTGGCTTCAAGAAGTACAAATCATGTGCGGATCAAATTGCAACGCTACACTACGCATCATCATAGAACAGAACGCAGAATGGCAGTCAACTCTCTACCTCAATTTCATCGATTTTGAAAAGGCCTTCGATAGCGTCGACCGAGAAGTAAATTGACAGCTGCTGCTCCAACACTACGGAGTGACACAAATCTTTATCAACCTCATTCAACAACTATATGAAAACGCCACATGTCAAGTAATTCACAATGATTTGTGTCTAATGTTGCACAAACTCGAAGATCCACAAGCGAAAACCAACAAGTTTGTAGAAGAGACATGGCAGAGAAGATGGGACTTCAAATGAATGCAGAGAAGACAGAGGTGATGAAGATACCCAACCAACGCCACCACCAACAACAACAACAAGCTCCAATCACCATCAACGGGAGGAGCTTAAAGGGAGTAGCCTCTTTCATCTATCTAGGCAGCATCGTTTCAACTACATGCGGCACAGACGAGGATGTCACAGCAGCCAGGATCGGAAAAGCAAGACAGGCGTTCATTAGCCTGAAACCAGTATGAAGATCTGATCTTCTGCACTCAGCACAAAGAACAAGATCCGGATTTTCAACACCAATATCAAGTCAGTGCTGCTATATGGTTCGGAAACTTGGCGTGTTAAGAAAGGCATTCCCAACAAACTACAGATATTCATCAACAACTAGCTACGCTTGTTACTGAAGATCAGCTGGCCAGAAAGAATAAGCAACCAGGAACTCTGGCCGAGCAACGACCCAACCAAGAACCTATCGCTCAACAAATATGCCGAAGGAAGTGGAGATGGATTGAGCTTGCACTGAGAAGACCATTCGGGGACATCACGTGCCAGGCGCTCGAGTGGAACCCAGATGGGAAACGGCGTGTTGGGTGTCCGAGGTGAGGGTGACATGGAGATAGTGTGAGGAAGAAATGAGAGCTTGGAGCAGTCGTGGAGCCAGGTTCGAAAGAGAGCAGAGTAGAATGGTGACGTGCTACTGAAGCCCTATGTTCCACTAGGAACCCAAGGGACAAATAATAATATCGCTTCCGCGAACCTCAGTATACGTTTTTTATGCAATTTTGTTTGTGCTGTGGCTAATTCTTGTGATGGCTCTCGACTAGGATTGAGAACAAACCGGTGACATCGAATAATGCTGGTTAATTAGTTCCATCCAAGATAATCAAGACTAACTATGCATTTCGCCACAGCTAAAATGACTCAGCAATAAAACCTTAATTCGTGTTATTCATTGATCTGCGTTCCAATATCAGAAATATCATAACCTTCTTGTAAGTACAATATAAACCTTACTGATGTGTCTACTAACTTGCAGCCCGAACCCAAAGATTCCATTCTGATACTTTAATCGAGGCTCATGAACTTTTAGGATAGCTGTTCTCTGAATCCTTAATGGAATTAAATAAAAATTAGAAAATGTTCTAACTTTCAAACAACATCATATCACTATCTAAAAACTAACTTATAACGGCAATTGAAATTTACTATTTAAATAACATTGGTCCATTGCAACAACCGACTAGTTTACTGGCTATGGAGTTCTACGACAGTATAATTGATTAGTCTTATGCCTTTTCCGAAGATCCAGAACGGAAAGACTGATTTTCTAATTACAAATGATTAGAACATAAGCCAATATTTTAATGCTGGATAGTGGCTAGCAGTAGAATCCAGGACGCGCGTTTCGTCCTGTTAAGAACTTGTCAGCTGGATGTGCCTCCCTTCCAGTGAGTAATGTTGTTCCCACTGGGACTCGGACCCAGGGCCAATCGCTTCAAACGCCAGAGCGTTATCAGCTAGACCACTGAGCCACAATATCCCTTTCTTGTGTGACGGGTATAGTTTTAATATTGTTGCTTGTATTATCCAATCCTGGAATGGACTGAGTTGATTGGTCTCTATTGGCATATTAACTCAAAAAGAGTTCAGGTTTACTGCGGTGTCTCCTCGAAACAACTGTTCGCAACCCGATTGAAGAAGCTGATTCATTCTTAAAGACGGTACGACTAACTTGCATTTTAAATAAATTATGCCAATAGGCTAGCCCATAAACAATCATTTATCGTTTGCATTGATAATCTGTTGAATCTGGTCTGAACAACGCGTGTGAATTGGAAGAATGTCAATTACAGTATCCCAATGACTCAATCACGTGATAAAAACCATGCTGATTTTGAGTGTGGAAGAGATTGATAGTAGGCAGTGCAGAGTAGTTTTGTACTAAGTTCAATAAAATGTATTATTGATGATAAATCTCTGTGATTATTCTTCTTTATTGTCACAAAACAATAAAATCAAAACAACAAAGCCCAACTTACAGTTTATTTTCTTGGATTTTTTTTTCTGCATCGCTTTAATATAGAATAGTAGAATCTTGTTAGTGAGTACAGTTATGTTTGATTTTATAATGCCTAACAACCGTAGGCATTAGGCCTAACAACTGTAGGTTCAAATAAAACAAATACTGACAAAATGAGATGGCTATTCATTACAAATGATGATTTTATGTTTCCCATCAGAATTTTTGCAATACAGTATTGAAACACATTTGTTTAAGAAGTATTCGTTACCAGCTGGTAAATGTGTAACGTTTAGTACACTTTTTTTACAGTGGTTTTCAACAGTTATAGCAGAAGTTATTTCATGTAAGAATCAAAGAAATTCTTATCAACATTTTGTCGATACGTAAATTTATAAAATATGTAAATCATTTTCTAAAATAAAAGTGATAAACTAACAAAAAAAGTATACAGAATTAAAATAGTAATTACCTATAAATTAGTTGAGAAGAAAACGATAAAGAAAGAGTAAAAAAAATGAACGAACGCTATTAGGAGACTTTTGTACAACTCGACCTAGTTTTCTCTTTTAATGCATGTTCCATTAAATCAATATTTGCTTTGATCTTTGGATGCTCTGGAGCAAGTTCAGCTGCAACTTTAGCCTCGTCTAAATATTGTGTAGCCTTGAGAATAAAAAAGAAAACTTTTATAAAAATCTCATGGGTTGTTTTTGAATAACAAACCAGTAGCCGATTTCTATAATACCAGTTTCTATACTTTAAACTTGAGAAAACGTATACCAAGACTTTAGAAAATTGGCAGTTATGTTACATATTGAAGAACAGTTATCCATATCATGACCTAAGTATACGCCAAGTCTTATTTTAACGCAGTAACACCTGCATACTTTGCAAAAGTGAAGACAAACCTAAAATTCTTCATTAATGTTAATGCAAACGCGATGACTATCATTCACCTACTTCATCTCTCTAACACGTTTTCCCATAAATTTCTCATTCTAGCCTCAGCAAATCTTGACTAAACCCCATGTATTTCCTAAAAAGAATAGGGGACAGTTTATCATAACATAATTATAAACCATCCATAGTGAGTGATAATTTTAAATCGTGAGTACCAGTCATTGGTAAACATCCACTCAAACACACGAAATCAAATCTACACAAGACTGATGGCAGTGAATAAACATGGTGATGTTAGTAAAAGGCACTTCCTTGTCGTGTATAATGTCATGACTTTTCTGGTTTACACGCTATTATCCACACCGAAGTCCTAACAGCACAATCAACTGAAGCAACATTTACTAGTTAGATTTGGACTTGTTTATTCAATACATACCGTAAGACCAAATCGTGTATGATTTGTTATTGCGCTACTTGTATCAGTATCAGTCAAAAAAAGTTCGTATACCAGTG